TGTCTCAAAGTTGCTTGACCATGTGTGATTGCATGTTCCAATAACAATTGCACTAAATAATAGACATTGTTTTTTAGGGCTAGCCCAATTTCTCTTCAAGTTATTCCCTACCTCGTAAAGCAGTTTCATACTCAGTTTAATCTGAGCATTCCTCCTAGAGATGGTTCCTTGTCCAATGATCTACCCCATCTCCTATCGCTCCTGCCACTTTATTAAGCAAAATACTGTATGCCGCTGAATCAGATCAGGGTAAGACACACTCCGGTAACTTTGCTTCCAGATATCCCTTATAGTTAGTCTTGTAACAGCGCACTCTCTCTCTTTCTCTACTTCTCAACATTTATCATCCAACATTCCCCAAATCAACTGCAATGTACTCGCACTGTATTAATTTGATCCAATAAAGCCACATGCACAATTCACAAGCGTTCAATTAATTTGGCTCAGTCAAAGCTATTCTGGAGGTAAGTCTGGCCTGTAAAATTCCATTAGTGATTAGAATGTTAAATGCTGTAAAAAAGAATTGAATTTTATTTCCAGTTTCCCAATCAACTACCATTTAAATTCAAGCACCTGATGATCATACTAAGCACAAAGAATGTTAAGGACGAAACAAGTTACGATAATACCACTTGCTGTTCAATGGAGTAATTGTTGGCCCCACATATTGGACACTCAAAAGTCTACTTTGCAAATCACTATTCATCGATTGAGTTTGAGTCCGTTGAGTTATGAGAGGCACGATAATCTTTCAATGTCATTTATGTAGTTCGGTATTCGTTTTGAGGCAAATTGAGATTTTCTAGTACACCTTTTGTGTTGCAAGCATTCCCTGTTACAATGCAAACGTTACCAATTTAAAGTCAAGCTCATTAATGTTAACATGCCCATTAATATCATAAGCAACGGTCTCATTTGTTTTCTCAAAACACTGTGTATCCTCGGGCAAATCAATTTAAAACATTTTATTCCATTTCATTTCAGAACTAGATGCATTTATTAAACAATGAATGTGAATAATTGGCCAGGAGGTTAACATTGCCTATTAATACCTCCATTGTTTAGTACAGATAGCTCTCACGAAGGCCAAATACATGCAATAACATAATTGCCACAAACGCTGTCAACAAAAGATCTGAATCTACCGCAGAGTAGACCAATGCAATAGCAAAGTGCGTGCAAACTGAATATCATTTATCAGAAACAGCCATGTTAATTTACTGAGATCAGGAAAGGGATTAGTAATTCCCATGAGCAAAGGCTTTCAATCACTAATGTTCATGCTGCAATAAAAAAAAGTGTTTGTCAAAGCCTGAGATGATCAAAATGTGGCTTTAGCCTGACTCAATCAAATCACTCCAATTTAGATTGCTTCAGATTACTGACTCCGATTCGAGGTCATTCCAATTTACAGAATGACATTATCTTTTGCATTAACGTTGTTTAAAAGCATGGGAGAATGCAGAAAAAAATGGACAACAACAAACTGCACTGATAATGGTGCGTTTCATGACAAATGAACATCTCCGAGTGCACATCAGGAACATCCTGAGTGTAACAGGAATGAGCTAAGAGGAAAGCCTGGAGTATTTTAAGCACTGCAGTCTTGAAAGAGCACTTTTGAGGAGATCTAATTGAGGAATGAGAAACATAAATGGTGTAACATCCAATTAGGACTGGTGGACTTAAATTTAAATCAGTGAAAAAGTAATTTTAAAGCAGGTATTAGGAAGAACTTTTGTTTATTTAAAAAGTGATAAATGTCTGGGAACAATTTGCAGGTGGGGCTTGTAGAGGTAAGAACATTATGGGTGTTAGAAATAGAAAATTACGGATATTAAAATAAAAAAGCTATAATGGGTAAAAACCCGGTATAGATTTCAGTACAGGCATACCTTCCTTTGACCCGAATCCATGAGTTTTCCTGAGGAATAACCAGGGGTGATGATTAATACAAGGAACAATAAACCAATTTGAAGACCTTTAAAATGAAATAATTATTTCCCCGGGGCTAACAGTCAGTACAAATTATAGTAATAAGCTTCTTGTTGCACAGGTAAACAGGGAATTACACATTTCTTCTGCACAGAACAATTTAAACAGTATTCAAAGGAACAGTCATCCATCGCCTAACTGAATGGTTGACTCAAGCCACTGGTTAAAGCAACAGTTCAATTTCTTTAACGCAATTCCCACAAGAACTTAAAAGTAATGGCTTTTCAGAATATGTGAACTGTACTTAAACCCTTGGTTACATTAAACGTTCCCATCAGTATAGTTCATTTCAATTCCAATGGCAGACTAACTTTCACCTAATATTTCTGGCTCAATCATTTTTATTTTGAATTTAAAAGTTTAGCAATGTTGAAAAATTATTCGACCATAGATATGGAATCTCAATCCTTCCAGTCGTGCAATCTCTGGCAACAGGATGTTATGCGTCAGCTCTGATAACAAATGATCTTTGCATAGAACGCAACTCATATCCCACTGTGCATTGTGACGTGCATCGAAGCTGTCCTACAAGTACGTAGAATAACACCACATTACAACACTGTCATTGGGATCCATAAAATCACACCTGGTGTTAGAACGGATCACTTCCAGGCACATGCAAAAAGATGGTTGGTTTCCCTGGATGAAAACGTTCGACTTCCAGGTCATCAGATCACTGCTGGTATAAATTCTGGTGCACAACACACAAAAGCAATATCGTCAGAGACCTGAGGTCCTGGAAGTCAACTATTTCTTAGCACATGAGAAGCTGGCAGAAGCAAGCTGGTTGGCTTTCTGCACACAATGAATTTTGGGGCCCACATCCAATCGTTCCACATGCAATCTTGCATTATAACGAAGTGTGTTATAACAGATTACATTGCATGAAGACCCCTCCTAGTGTTAGGTGAAGAGCTAATGAGAGGGTGAATGAGTCAGATGTTAGAATCAGAAATATTACTGCTTAAAATATTATAATCTTAGAACCTTTCCTGCACCAGTAAAAGGTTTTGAAAATCACACACTGCCCTAATGTGGTTTATGTGCAATTAGAATTGTAAAATACCAGTAGGTAAGGAAAGCCAGTACATAAAATACTTTGATTCAAATCAATTTCTATTCTGCATGTGCATCTGTAAGAAGCATAAGCTTGCCATCTGCTGTTCCTGTTCAACATTGTCGTCGTCTGAAATCTACAAAACAGCCACTGCAGTTCTCTTCTGGAGGAGTTTTAAGATTTGCCTTTTACGTATAAGCAGAAAATGCTTGAAAAGCACCACAGCTCATTCCACGCATAAAAGACAAAATAGTACAGCATCTGTGAGGATGGCCCTTCATCAGATTCCAAAAACTGTTAGCTTGTTTAAGAGTCGAGGGCAGTTAATTAAAGTAATTCTCTAACTAACAGAGATACTAGGCAGTATCGTACTTCCACAGATGAATTAGTTTGTGTATATAGTTACTAAATGAATGAAGGAGGATTCACTTTGTAAATAGAGTAGAAGCTTAATTTTCAATCAACCTTTCCAAAACACTCCCCAAATATCTTTAAGGAGTCTCATGTGTGAATCTTTCAACGAATAGAGATTTGCACTCTCCCGAGACTTCACTCGCAAAACAGACGGATAAATCCACATTACAATTCTGTTTGACAATGAGAAGCAAACAATAGATGGGACTCGAAGAAAGCAACAACCTTAGCCGCAGAACATTAGCGTTTGAATGAGAACAACCACCACCTGGATTTGTAAGTACCTTTCATGCAGGATAGCGACTCAGGGTGCAGCACAGTGACAGGGTTAGGTGCCGAGCAAGCGAAAGGGAAAGGTGACCAAAGGCATAGTTGAAAAGGGAGGTCTTCACGAGAGAGTTAAAGATGGGTGGGCGGGGTGGGGGAAACAGGTGAAGGGATTGAGGTAGCAGTTCCAGAGATTAAGGGTACAGGTGGTTGAAGGGTCCACCGCTGATGGAGAGGTGGGGGAACACGCAGCAGAAATGTAAGCAGCTTTTGAAAATCGGGAGTTACACGGAATTATGTTGTCGCTGCTTGAATTCCAGATAAAGCAAACCAACTGTGAAAAAGCAATGTTTGGTTTAATTTAATCTGAAATCTTCGGAAAGTGAAAAGTCGTCCCCCTGCAACGGATTTGGTTTGGAGCCGTGACCGACAGCTCCTTCAATTCAATTTAATACTCCGTCCACAGCACGGAGATTGCGACGAAAGGAATGCGTGGAATCCGTCCGGCGTGGAGGGCGCTATATAAATCCAAGTTGTTGTTGCTGTTGTTGAATGTCTGGGGGATGATATCGGGGACTTGCTCTTAAAATGGCCTCTCTCCCGTGAAAACTAAATGTATTTGCTGGATTTCCAAATACTTTTGCATAACATTTGCTGAATCGGGTGCGTGTTCTGTACTCGTCTAAGGAAAGTGCAGAGAACTTTACAAATATATATATACACACACAATCTTTCCCTTAGTAACTATGCACAGATTCCATCTAAGCTCACGTAAGGGATTGCAACACAATTTTCATCAATCAGCCGACTGCAAGCAACATGAAACGGTTATAATTCTAGTTTGCTGCTTTTTTTATTTCATCATATTCAATGTCAAGTTACGGTTACGATGCAGAACAGCAGCAATGGCTCCCGACACCGAAACTAACCTGCGTTTACACACATTTCGAACGAGCTCCAGAATCAAGTGCAGATGAAGCACTGAAGTTTCCCAGCTACACGAGCAGCGCTGGTGTGCAGTAATAACTAAGGCTACAGTTGCAGTTTTTTAACCAAATAAATATCGAGATGGAGGAGATAAAAAGCCTCACCGTTCAAAGATTATTTAGGAATATGCAACAACAACAACGACGTTTGGGTCAGCAAAAGCCCGGAAGGTTTCGAGCGCACGGAAAAGGGAGGGACATGCTGAGCAGATGCTCGCAGACCACAATCCCTGCCCAGCCAACGTTGTCCTCGATAACGCTCTCGCTCGGGCTGTGGGCTTTTATCCAGCAGGTGGCAACACAGTAAAACAAAGGCAAGGGATGCTACTCACAGGGGAGCTGCCATCGGAAAGGGTGTTCATGCTGATAGAGGTGCTCATCTTCCCTGATGATAGAGAAGGCGGTGATGGACTGCGCTTCTCCATGCAAGCGTGCTGGAGGGGCTCCTGTCGCTGCAAATACTCACGCCAGGCTCGCTGAATTCTGCAGCCGCATTCGGAGAAGATCAAAGAGAAAGATTAGCACACGGGCTCGTTAGCGGGAGCACTAGATTCTGACTCAAAGTGTCAACAACAACAACAACAACTCGCATTCATCTTGGATTTCCGCAACATTATCATTGCACTGTACAACCTTGCTCTTGTTATACTACCTACCACTTTGAACTACCACCAACTGCTTTGCTCCCTTTGCTGTCAGGGTTTAAAGTTAATGTTGCTTCTACTTAAATGTTGTCAGCTTCAAAAACTGGCGAGCTGGTGTAACTCCACACTACGCATTGAAAGCGGGAGCCTTAACTATTCTACTATGCCATTTCCCAGCTACATGGACGGCACTATTATGTGGGTCTAATTAAGGCTACAACTAGTTTGTGGTATTATGAAGAACGCATTATCAGAAGCTGGAGTGAGAGAGAAAGAGATACCGGTGGCCTTATCTGACTTGGTGTCTGATTTCCGGCTGGCCAGCTGAAATTCCAGCTTGCCTCATTGCAGAGAGAAATCTGGGATTCAAGGACCATTTATGAATGAGAGTAAATACAGGTTTCTGGCCATATCAGACGAGCAGTGCATTCAATATTCCCATTGAACTGGCAGCCTACCGTAGGCACTTGTCATAAGCTGCACAAATATTTTCAGTTGTCTTTAATGGCAGGACAACATCGATTATGTTACTGGTGGTTTCGTTGGCCCATTTGAGATGCTACCCTGCATGAAGGGTGCCATATAAGTGCAAGGTGCTGTTATAATAATAATAATCGTTGCATTGATTTTGCGCCTTATCACATCTTCGAGACGTCTCAAAGCGCTTCACAGAATACACTATAAAGTGATTAGACTGTATACTTTGTGGGCGAATTGCGAGAAGCAGTGTCCCACAAACAGTCGTGGATTATTATTTATTTTTATCTTTGAAGGGATGATTACCTTATTTTTATTATTGTTGTCTTCAGTGACATGAATATTTCACCATAAATAGATCCATCGAGTAATTTCAAAGGCAAAGCAGATGAAATAGAGAGATCCTGTACCTGTCCTCTCCTAAGAGCCAGGGGTATCCAGAGTGAAAGTCATGCAGTTATAGTTTTGCTGGCTTTAGTAGAGCCCTGAATACTCACTATCAGCTGTTAGATATTGAACTTAGTGTCAGCACTGATAATTTCATTCTCACCAGTGTTCAAGTTTGTTTGTGTGTGACATTGTTAGACGAGGTTTTATTGATCTATTCCCATAGAGTTTCGTGCAGCAACAAAACACAAGGTTCGTCCCTGGAGGCTCCTGTAAGGGAGCCCGGGGCAAATTTCTTCATCTATTGACATCCTTGATCTTGTGACCGCCTCTGATCAGTGTTCAAGCCATCTCCAGAAGTTTGGCTTCCTCTTTCAAGCCAAAGCACATCTTTTCCTCTCAACAATCCTCAAGTCACTATAAATAATACTTGGATGTGATACAGCATCTTAGTGCACAAAAAAAAGCTCAAATCAATCTGTATAAGTTACTTTGAAATATAACAAAAATTGTGCAGCCCCGATGGAACAGTAAATAGCTCTACAGGTTACAGACCAAAGGTTTGAAGAGTTTGAATCCTTGTCCTTGCTGAGTTTGCTGGCTCCAATCAGGGCTGCATCGCAAGGATAAATTGGCCCCACCCTTCCTGGGATTAAGGAGGGGAAAACTCTGTTAAGTGTTTTCGGACATTTCTATGTGCTAAGGCTTTTAGGCTTGGAATACTCCTAAATATTTCACCCACAAAATATACAGTCAATTCATTTTGCAGTATATTCTGTGAAGCGCTGTGAGACGTCTCGAAGACGTGATAAGGCGTTTTATCAAATGCAAGAGTTATTATTATTATAAATCAGACATTTCTGGTGCTCTTCAAGTCTGTCTCCTAAAAAGGAAAGGAAAAAAAAACTGCTGCCAATACCTCTCTGTAATTAAACTGAGGTTCTGGACTTACTTGGCATATTACCACACTATATAGCTGTGAGGAGGTGCTTTCCCCCAATGTTCCACCATATAGCAAAGCACAAAAGAGTAGCAAAAATGTGACTTTGTGTAAAAATGTTGTAAATAAAAACTATTCTGTAAAAACTCCTGTGCAACACATATTAAGTCCCCACATGGTGCAATTTACTGAATTTAACTTACATAGTTTTATTCACCTTATTAAATTATTAACTAATAATGCAATGCAGTCTCCATATAGTGTAATCGGACACCTGTGTTTTAAAGTCACTTTGTTTTATTTGAAATGCAATGCTATTTAATTCTGTTCTGTGGCAGACGGTCAAACAGTCTAATGAGACTGCCCTAATGAGCTGGTGGATTCATTCAGATCAGCAAAAAGCACCCAGCAAAACAAATCCCCAGCCAGCAATAAATTGAGGGTATAGTTCAGTGATTATTTTCATTAGGATTCCATACTGTATGGCCATCCTCTTAATTTCAGTTGAGGTGTGCACGTGGTTTGATTAAGTCATTTTGGGGATGGATGACAGCCATTTACATCAAGTATTTCAACAACAGCAAGTCTTGGTGGTTTACAAAAGCAATTTAATTTTGTTAATAATTTGTGGATTCCATAGTAAATCCATTAATACTGTAAAAGCAAATGGAGGCAGCGTTTAGTCAATGTCTATCCCACGCCAAGGCTTACGAGCGCTGTACATGGACCACATTTATCTTCAGTGCTCACTGGCTTTGTGCTTATTAAGGGATATACCAGAGGGTGGCACTGTATGGCTGATTGAAATTGACCAGCGAGACAGGAAATGGTGCAAAATAAAACAAATATGGACTTCCCATATATATTCAACCAAATCTATAAATTTTAAATGATATTTAATAATACGCAGGAATATATAGCAATTCTGGGTGGCAGGAGGAGTGGCTCAATTGGATTCCCTGTGCTTAAATAGCTTGGCGATACTTAATGACCCAGACATAAAGAAGAAGCATATTGGCAAAGTAGTAGAGGATTATTGGGATCTATGGGATCACCCCCGGATAGGAGTCATGACATTTGAGAGAAGATGAAGAGAAAATTGTGGGGGAAAGCCATCCTCTGTACTTCATTTATTAAAATCTTTGCTGCGTGATACTAATCTCAGGCATGAATGGATATTTCTCCAGGTGAGACACACAGGAATTAGTTCAAGGGAAAGCTGTGACTTTGTATTGCCAATGTTCAGCTTGGGCTTATCACCTTTCACCTTCATATTGCTATCCACATAGTCAAGTCATGCAGATTTGCATCATGTTGATGCAAATAAAGACAGCAGCGTTTCAAGTGTCCCACAGATTTCTGTCTACAACTGTCGATAAGTTAGAAATATGTTGGAAAAGTCTATTGGTTTTCTTTTGAAAATTGCAGTGGCAGCAAACCGATTTGCTTCAGTAATGGCTATCTTCATTCTACAGCACATTTCATTGTGAGCGGGCCAGCGTGTGAATACAACGTTACTTCCAGCCTGCTGCAGTTCGATCAGACAGTAAATGGAAAGTTAAACTGGTCAGAACATCTCTCCGAGCAACAAGCAACACGATAAAGAGATATTTGGTGTGGAAACAAGAAAACAATTCAAAAGCCTTTCGAGCGTATCTGTTGAAAGTGGTGTCCTTTAGCTGAAAATGGCAACGTTGCCTGTGGTGGTGTTTCGAATAGAGTAAGGTTGTCCTTCTTAAAATACTGCTCCTGTTGTAATTATCAAGGCAAATACGAATCTACAGGAGGAGCTGGATGTGATATTTCAGAATGAACGTGAGCAGTAAAGTTCCACCTGGGTCTAGATTTACTGACATTTCAAAATTTAGTGACCTCATCGATGCAGCCTTAATTTTAAAGCCAGTTTTCCGTGAATTCTTTGTAAGTACTGCAGAAAACTGACTTCAAATTTAAGACTGAATTCAACAATTTCATTCCTACGGTTCCTCAATTATCACCTGAAATCCAGAGGACTTTGCCGCAGGCTAGGTTTCCTGTTTTGATACGATGACTTCATAAGTGAATATATCACAAGAATCTCTCACGTCTGTCAGTTCACGGATGCACAAATCCCTTGATATCTTCATGCAACCTTACTCAAAAGATTATATAAATAAAAACCGTAGCGCTCTAGCTTTGGGGACTTCGGAGCCTAGAGGAACTGCAATTTTAAAGTGACATTAACCCTTTAATTAATTTACTCTTAATCATAGGCAATCCTGTTACTTACATTATCGCCTTTGATTCTGGCACTCCCATGTTGAGTTGACAATTTTCAATATTATTTTCAAAATCCATCGCAAGTTGATGGCTGTGAAAAGGACAGGAAAAAAATGACATGCGTGTTTGTAATAATAAACTTTTTTTTTACATTCTCTGTTTAATGGAGGCACTGTGTAAATGTAATTTGTTGTTGTTGTTGCATTTACAACTTCAATAATTCAGGGCTTCATACTTGAGCAAAACACTCACTTTTGAACCACATATTTTCCATCATGGACCTGCTCCAGAGTGTTCTCCAGTCTATTCAACTCCTCCTGAGATTAAAAAGGATAACCATTAGCATTTTATTCAACTGGTTACGTATTTATTCGATACAGTTATGAAGAATCACTGAGGGAGGTTCAACAATTTTTTTCACAACAGTTTTTGCAAGTTCCTTTTCCACTCATTTGTATGACCCTGACACAATGTAAATCTGCCCAAATAATAAACCAGAAAACCTTGTCTGTGCCTGTGGCACTTGGCAGCCAACAACTTGGTTGAAAGCACCAGAACCATAGCAATTTAAACACAGAAGGCCATTGTGTCTTTGCTGGCTCTTTTAAGAGCAATTCTTTCCGTCCCAATTACCTGCTCTCTCATCCATATTACTCCTGCAATTTACTCCTGTTTAGATACTTATCCAGTTAGCTTTTGAAAGCGAATATGGATTATGCCTCGACCACCATTCACCCGCAGGGCTTTTTGTATCCTGATCGCTCTTGATTCACCTTAAATATTTTTCCACCTAATTTCTCTGCATATCTGACAAGCTTGTGAAGTTGTCACGTGCAAAACTAGGGTTTTAGAGCAACCAGCATCCCATTCGTTCATTCTGTGTTTCTCAGAGCAGTTTAAGGATTTGCTGTTGCATTCCTGCAGCCACTCGAAATGGGTCGAGTCGAGTCTGAGGCCTTAAAATGATCTAAACCTGACATATTCAGACACAACCCAAATTGCTTCAATTCATAAAAGCCTTTCTAAAACATAGAATTCAATGTAAAGCAAAGAAACTGAAACATTAAAACTATATATTTTGTTTCATTTTAATAGGCTCAACTTCAATGTGGGGTTAAAATGGCAGATCAGGATGTGTTATTTTTTTCCCTGATATCTGTTGGATTTCTATAAATTCCTGCTCATTTTACAGAGCAGAAAATCTATAGCAATTCCACTCCAGCAGTTTCACAGCTCTGAATAATGATGCTTCCTTTCCTGCTTCTAAATTTATGAATGTGCCATGCAGTGTGCACGCAAACCAAGTGTGATTCTGTGACTCCAGTACTAATGCATCAGGGAAAAGTAAATACATTTTAAAATGTCATGAACGACAGGTTGTGAAGCTGTTTTTTCCCTGATCGGTGCTTTCAGAAATGCATTTGAAACTGTACCACAAATAAACTAGCTGAAGCAGACCATAAATTAAGGAAATTAAACTGGACTTGGGCCAAATTGTATTTTGTAAGTAGAGTTTACAATATCTCAGCTGTTGTGATATATAAATCTATGCACTGATTAATAGGATTCAATGATTTTTTTAAAAATCATAAGTACTTAGGCATCTGTGCTCCTTTTTGACTGTGTACATGACCTAAAGCCTCTTAATCTCTCTCTCTCTGTGTAAATAATAACATTTACTTCTAGGGTGAACATATTTTTGAAAGGGCTTCAATAGTCGGCAAAAAGGTTTACATAACCTTCTGACTAAGTTGGTAACATTCTTGGAGGCGAATGTTCTCTCACACGCTAAACCCTCAGATTATCCTACACACTCCACTGTCTTTTGAATGAGAATGTACTTATGCGTTATTCAGAAATCAAAAAGCCCACTATATATTACTTTTTTATATTAAAGGTTCATTCCATTCCATTCCGCCACCTAGTAATGATAGCTCATAAGCACTGATATTTTCTATGCTGGTTACATTTGGAATCCAAAAAGTGTCAACCTCCTCGGTATTTAGAGTTTACACAATAACGATGAACAGGTTTACGTTACAACTTCAAACTTTCACCATTTTGATCGAAAGTAGCTCTCAGTGCATGAAGCTCAATCACAAGACAGTCAATCAAAGCGGACTGATTTGATACTGATGAATGTGCCTCCCATATCTCTCTCTCAAAAGATACTAAAATATTTGTTGGGTTCCGCATCACAAAGCAGTATACTTATACGAGGTTTTGAATAAAAGGTTGGCATTTGCTGGTAGAGCACCTCATCATTATTTTTATGTTAGATCTGATAGGTTCATAAATTTCAAAAAGAAAATTCTGTAAACACGCTTTACAGGTACATATTTTATATTTATAATGGATATAAAATATACTAGTGAATCCAATATGCCACACAATTATTCCACAATATAATATCTTTATCATCAGCAAGACAGATTCCTGTGCATAAATATCAAGAGTATGGAAGACTGGGGTCTTAAATGCAGATTTGTAAATATTGAATCCTGAACGGTGTCAAATGCAATGTAATAATTCTCTGATGGTTCATCAGCCCATGAGAAAATGGTGCAGATAAGAAACAGCCAGTAAAGGGTGGCCAAAAAGTCATGATAAGTACCCTATTACCCAAAAAACACCCAAAATATCATTATTTCTTTAAGACTTATTAGACATTGTAATTGTATCATGACTTTTTGGTCACCCTGTACAATCTGAGATCAGTTCCTAACCCAAACCAGGAAACTACAAACTGCAATGATGTCTCAATATTGGTTCTAATGCTTCTAACTTTCAATTATGCTGTACAACACAAATTACATTTCATTCAGTGCCTTTCACGTCAGGAGGACAAAATTGTAAAGCGCTTGACACTAGGGCATTTGATAATGTTGATACACCATACCCGTTAAAGGTTAAGAATTATATCACAACTAAAAGCAGTCACCAAAAATATGCAGATAGTATGATGTAAGTAACTGATAGGCTGCAGAAATTTATCAACCACTGTTAATGTAAATGTCACCATTGTAATTATAAAACAAAGACTTCAAGAAATTGAATATTTATTTGACTGCTAAGGAAACTACAAATCATATTGGATTTCTATTAAGGAGCAGCCAAGCAAATGGTAAAATACTTTGAGTGAATTGCTTTTATCAAGGGCGAGTTACATAATTCAAGCACCAAGTTTCATTTCTCCGAGCTGTTGTGACAGTCTCATTTTAATGGCTTACGATAGAAGGGTTACCCTCTTAACATCAAAATATGCACAGACATGGATCCTGGCACTGAAACATTGTCAAAAAATAGTGAACAGGTCATAAACCATGAGAGCATCTTATAAATCCATTAAATTCCTAGGAGTGATACTCTATCCTAATTAAGTTCTATTTTATACAGTAAATACCTTCTGTGATGATCATTAGCTGCATTACTGAACAGTCTCTGTGTGTCAAGTAACAAGTGGCTATTTTACAGGCAAAAGGTGGAGGTTTGGATGAGTTCCAGAGAACTTAAATGTTAAAAAAAAATCCTTGCATTTGATATAGCGCTTTTCATGTTTTCTAGATGTCTCAAAGTGCTTCACAGAATATATTGTAAAGTGATTTCACTGTATATTTGTGGGCAAAATGCAGCAGCCAATTGCGCACAGCAGCGTCCCACAAACAGTCGTGGATTAAAGTGACCAATTTATTATTGTCTATTTTTTCTTGAGGGATTATTATCAGGCATGTGGAGTAAGGATACTTGCCCAAGGTTTCACCCTGCCAGGTCTCCCTTGTGAGGCGAGTGCTCTAACCACTGAGCTACAAGACTCTAACAGGACAAGGGCTGACTAATGGTAGAGCAGAGAGAGCGGGACATAAGCAGCAAAGAAGGGCAGAGCAAGGACTGGTGTAGAAGGCTGCAGAAGATTATGCAGATGGAATAAGGCAATGGAAGGCAATGGAAAATATTTGAGAGACAGTGGGGTTTGGGAAGCACAGGCCTGAAGAAAGTATAGGATTTTTATATGATCCTTGAACTACGGAATGTTTGGACCTGATCTCAAAGAACATCTCCCTCCAACTCAAAACGTATTGCATTTAATACAGATTGCCCTTCTCTCCCTCTCCTTGTTTAAGGTGTTTTGTGGCTATACTGTTGTTATATATACAGGGTGACCAAAAAGTCTTATTTTTCAGCTACCCTATTGTCTAAAAAAAATTATCATTTCTTTAAGATTTATTCGACACTGTAATGGTATCATGACTTTTTGGTCATCCTATATCGTGTATATTTTTGTTGTTACATGGGGTACCATAGCTGACAATCTATAGGGTTTTATTCTTCAGCATTATCAGAGGTTGTTGTTATTTTGTTTGTTCCCGAGTCGTACCATGCTTTACATTTTAAACTGTTTCATTGCGAAGCAAAAAAAAAAACAATTTTTTTTGTCCTTAGAAATAGGAAAAAAAAGTTTTGCTTTCACTTGAAAAACAGAGATAAAAAGGGATCACTTCCACCCACCTTCTGAATAAACCAATAACACTTTTGGTTTATGAATTAGAGCTTTTCAAGACAACCACCAGCTAACTTCTTAGGTACCAATTTATTCTGCATTTATCTGTTGTCTTCATGTTTGCAAGCATCGATCATTGGTGCCTGGGCATTTTGATACAGATTTACTGCGTTTTGATTTACAACACAGCTGTTTTCTGAAATGTGCCGAGCACTGTCAAGAATTTATAGTACTCGGAATCAGATTTAGAGGGATGGAAGGGTATTGCGTATGAATTTTGAACTGTATTTTGGCTGCTAATTTAATCACTTAGTTGAAATATTGCGAGGCATTAGTGCGAACGCTTTTTACGCTTTGGATGTATCAGAAATTGTTATGCAGCATCATGCATTCTTATTACAGACCGGCTACATTAATTGGAATACATTATTTCCACAGACATTTTGGTCATGCAACTGAAACCTTGATTAGAGAGCTCCAGCACAGCTGGCTCATGCAATTCCAAAGACCATTTCAGATTGGACACGAGTCATATCATTGCAAAGTGCTTTTGTGAAGAGGGTTCAACTATGCACTGGAGAGATGGGACAACAATTTTACAGAAGATTGGCCGAATAAACAGCAGCACTCAAACGTAGGAAGGCAGAATAGGTCGTCACCTGCCAACCGTGCCTTGGCAATTAGCCGTCACATTTTATAGGAACCAGCATGATTTTTTTTTACTGAACCGAAGGAAAAAGAAATCCTTTCAGTGATATCAACCGTGCTGATGGAATGCTCATCAATGTGGAAAATGGAATTTATTCTCAACTGGGATTC